ACAAAGTTGAGGGCGTGTTAGGTTAGAAAATCTGTCATACCATCTATCTCTAGCTATGTAACTGAGGTGCTTCGCCCCCCAAACCCCCCTATCACGGGGGGTGGGAGCTATAGTCTCTTATGCTTAAGCTAAAGAGTGAATTTCTCACAAAAGACTGTAGCTCCCACCCTACCGTGTTACGGGGGGCTGGGGGGCGAAGTCCTCCAGTTACATAGCTAGAGATAGATGGTATGACAGATTTTCTAACCTAACACGCCCTCAACTTTGTCTATTAATATCTCGCTTCGCAGTAGAGAGCGACGATTTTGTCAGAGGAAAAAGTTATTTGATATGCAAAAACGCGTCGATTGAGTTTATTTTCATCGAAATCGGAGGTGAGGCCGCTAAACTAAATAATTACCCTTTATTATTATCATTATATTATCATTATATTAGTAATTTATAATATTATAATATTAATTATATTATTCTATTATGCTATTTATGCAATATTCTTTCAGATAAAATCAGTTAAGAACTATTTCCAACAGTTAAGCATTATATCATTTTAATCTATAATTTAGAAAATAGTATTTGTGGGGAATTTACATTCTATAATATGGAGCACTGAAAGGATTTTTAATAGATATGGCAGAAAGTGATAGTAGCATAAATATGGATGTAAATGAAATGTACAAGCCATTGGAAAAAAAAGATTATATTCAAGGAAAATCAAACTATTTCAATAACCATGTTTATATGAAAAGGGGAATAATATGGTTTTCCTTTAGTTGCTTAATGATATCCATAGTACTACTGTTGGATTTATTGATACTTAGCAAACAGCGTTATGAGAACATTGAAATACAGTATATGATTGATATAAATAATGATATTGATGAAAATACTATTGAAAAAGCAAAATATCGTTATGTCATGGATGCTCCAACGATATATATTAATCGACATGATTTAAAGAAAATGGGCCTAATAGAAGCAGGAAATTCACTCGAGAAAAATACACCTTTGTCTATAGTAGAAATGTCACCTATTACTGATTATGTAAGCAAAGAAAACAAAAATAGTATATTTTGTATAAATGAAGTACACAATATAACATAAATAATGTATTAATCATATCTATATTGTATGTTCTAAACAGTGCAGTAATATTCCTGAAATATTACGTTTTGATTGTCATCCAGAAGATGGAGCATCGCAACTTTCCTGTGGAAACAGAGGATGTTGTTGGAGTCCTATTAATGAAAAGATCAAAACAACGAAACATGTGCCATTGAATGTTCCATATTGTTATTATCCTGAAAAATGGGACTTGTATAAATATATTAATTTTAGTCAAAATGGTAATGATTTCTCAGGCTTTTTTGAACAAAAGAAGAAATCTGCATATAAGAATGATGTGACTCTTGTGAAGATAGAAGCTACAAGTATAGACAGTTCAATCCTACGTGTAAAGGTACAATGAACATATATATTTATATATATTTTATTTATATAAATATATAATAAAGTATATTAGTTTTGCATTATATACAATATAAGAAAATAATGTAATGTATATACAATGTAATTTTCAGATGTATGATCCTTTGAACACACGGTATGAACCACCATGGCCGATTAAGCTACATAAGAAGTCGTTTTCATCTCGGATGAAAACCAAGTATCGATTTAGTAGTGACAAAACGAGACCTGGTTTTAAAGTTGATAGAATTAATGATGACACGACATTGTAAGTACTTTATTTGAAGCAAAATCTCTTTTTAAAGTTTTAAGCTCGGAAATATTAATAGTCTCGATGTTTTACTCCAATAAAAACTTTAACCTTATTTGGATTATATATATATATATATATATATATATATATATATATATATATATATATATATATATATATTTACATTTTGTGCGTAGATTCAATTCCATTGGTGTCGGTGGTTTCATTTTTGCTGATCAATTTTTACAAATAAGCACATTACTCCCTTCTACCAATATCTATGGCATTGGTGAACATAGATCGAGCTTAAAGTTAAATACCAATTGGCAATCATTTACTTTGTTCAACAAAGATCAACCACCAACAGAAAATGTAAGTTGTTTTGTGTTGTTATTAATCGTATACGAATACGACGCCATTATATATAAAATGAATAAAATTTTTTCAATTCTTTTGACCAGGCAAATTTGTATGGATCTCACCCGTTTTATATTGTCCTTGAAGATTCTGGTATGGCCCATGGGGTGTTATTTTTAAACAGTAATGCCATGGGTATGTGGTTTTCGCTCTCGTTGTGGTACGACATTATGTTATTATATTCGAACAAAAACGATTATCTCGTGTCTTTCAGATGTAATATTACAACCTACACCAGCTATAACGTTTAGAACTATTGGAGGCATTTTTGATATCTATTTCTTCTTGGGGCCTACTCCAGCGGATGTTGTGAGACAATATTCTGAAATCGTAGGCAAGCCGTTTATGCCACCATATTGGTCGCTCGGTTTTCACTTATGCAGGTGAAATATTATAAAATTCAATATGAGTATGCGCGATTAAAACTATTACATATTTTATTAGATACGGATATATATATATATATATATATATATATATATATATATATATATATATATATATATATATATATATATACACAC